TAAACTGAAAATGGAAGAACATCTTCCAGTAGCTTCTTTTGGGTAACAACTGACCTGGATGTTTTTTCTGCGTTAGTCTGCATCATTAAAATGGGTATCTCCTCGAGGTGTGTCTTGCAATTTTTACCTTCTCTTTTTATCAGATCCACTTCAGGAAACTCTTCCTCTCCTGATGTAGAATTAAAATAATCTAAATGTCACAATAATATACTTTTATTTCCTTTGCAAAATGTGCACAGGAGAAGACAGAATTTTTTTAAAGATTTTTCATGTTTCCTTATGTCTCCCCCCGCCCCGAGTTCCCAGCCAGTAACTGATTTCCGACAAACACCAAGAACTATCTTGACATAGATAGTAGTAATAGCTTAGACTTTAAACAGACTGTATATAACTTAAGTTGTATTGGAGGAAAAGTCTACTGTGACGTAGCCGTTATCGAAAGTCAGGAAGGGCGTTTCCTCTGTCTGGCAGAAGAACCTCTCATTGCCGCTGTTTGCTTTTAGTTAAGAGAGCGACCCTCACCAGTAAGTGGGTGTGTTTGTGGGTGTTTTGGTTTTGTTTTTTGGGTTGGTGGGGCAAGTCTTTAAACGTCTGGTATTTTAATTTTAGCTTTGGCCAATTTAAAACTAACCATTTGGCACTGGGGAGTGGGAGTGAAATAGGTATTACTAAGAGCTGTAAACTCAAAATCCTGCCAATATAGCCTAAATATATTCTCTCAGATGAACTCCAGGATTTATTTATGTGCACCAAGAAACGGAGGAAGACCCTCAGCAAACTGGGAGTTCTGCAGTCAAACTAGTTGCCCTAAAAGGACTTCAAATCAAAATAAGGCCACTGTACCCTGATTCTAACGCAGAATTGTGTGAAGCTAATCTCTTCTTCTGTATATATATTGTAGTTCAAAGATCTTGTACCATCACAAGATAAAGGCAGATTTTTAGAAAGTTGAAGTTTCACTTGACCAATAGCAAACCAAAGTTGTTACAAGTATGTTAAGTTGCTATTCTTCCTCCAAAGCTGCTGCTGCTGCTTTGTATTGTCTATATTAAGATTTATACTCTTCCTTGTGATGCTTTGATACCTGCCCTGTGAGCAAGGTTAGCATTGCAAACAATTTAAATGATCTATTCTAGGCCCCCTATGATTGATAGCACAGGAGACTACAATCAACAGTCTGCCCAAGAACTAGTTGACCAGAGCCAGGTAAACTGTTATCTTTAATTCTTTGTTCTTGTCTACTGTGACCAATATTGTTCAGCACGTACATTTGTTGTGTCATGGCTGGAGCCATGACTTTGCTCTTTGGTTGAATTTATAGGTTATATATAGATGCTATGTGGCATACTAATGAGCATAGTAGGAGAACTGGTGGTATAGAGCCAGTACTGAGCAGCACTTTCTAAAGGAATTCTTTCTCTATACCTTTAGATTTCCCTTTTTCCCTTGAGCTCTAATTCTTTCTAGTTTCACATTTTAGCTTGGTACCCATCACCTTGCATAGCCTTAAAGCAATATCACTAATGCAGATAATGGAGCTCTTATAGTATGCTTCTCTTTCTTATTAACAAGGTGAGATGTAAATAACTTCATAGGCATGCAGCTGAAAGAAGTACGGGGTAACTTCTAGGACCTCATCCTAAGAGGCAGTGAATGCTCTGGCTCTGTTCCACAGAGTACCAATATATTTGTGCGAGTAGTCTTGCGTTTAAAAAAAAGTTATGTTTAGCTGGATCAATTCTAATGTGTTCTAATGTATTTTGCAGAGTCAAAGAATTTGATTGGGGGGGGTGGAAAGCATATTCTTCATGATATTTGCAAAAACTATGTCATATTTGTCATTAATTCTTACTACCAACTTATGGTCATTCTAAATTGAATGTTCTTGGGAAATCTGTTTTGAGCGTTGAAGTTACTATCATGCAGCATCAGAATGACAGCTTGAGTCAGTGTAGTCTTGAGTACAGAGAACTTCAGAAAGTACTGGAAAAATATTTTCATAATTACACTAAACCATTACAGTACTAATATCACCACATGAAGTTTGAGGAGTAACTGGTCTGATTTTTGCATTAGCTTGAAAAGCTTTATTTATTGAAAATTGGTAGCACAGTTAAAATGTATAGATTGAAATGGAGCTTGGAAGCCCTCAGGGATGAGAGGGTTTTGAGGGGCTGTAGAAAAATTGTGCCTTGCAGTCAGGGCAGTGGTAAAAGAGCAGAGAACAAACTTGAAGGGCCTGCAGCTCTGTTCATCGGAGAACAACAGTCCTGTCCATGACCAATGTTAAGCTATTATCTTCTGCTCAAGCTGTTTGAATAAGGAGGTTTCGTATTTTTTCAATAGTGTCCTGTTTGTTGATAGCTTGCCCACAAAGGCTACGATACAATCACTAAACAATTAAAAAGACAAAAATGGTTGAATCAGATTTAGTAATTATAATCAAAATGTCACAGAAAACTCACTTTCCTCTTAATTAGGAATTTTGATAAATTCAAGCCCTGAATTTCAAAGCCCTCTTGTACTGTGTAGTACCAACACTTAGAGTGAGCAGGAGCTCTTTTGGAGCCTTTAAAAAAGTTGTGGAAGCAAGGATGTCTTAGAGGTTATTCTAGCTTGCCTTTATGTATTTTCATTTCTATGGCTGAGCCCATGGCAGTATGCTTCCTGCATTCTTTGAATAAGCTGAACTTATCTTGGAGAATTTCTTGTGCGATAAATTAAATAGGACTAAACAATTTTATGTATTTTTATTTTACTTTGAAGACTTCCATATCCCAAAGAAAATGGAAGCTAGAAATAGGGCAAAGCTTCCCCTCTCCCCAAGCAATCAACAAGGCTGTTTATGTTCTGTTTCTTCCAGACTCTGGAAAATCAGTGTGATAGGACAGGAAGTAGAAACAAGTCTGAAGTTAGAGTCAGTGACCTTGCAGGAGATCAACTAAAGGTTCAAGCAGACGCATCTCCAATGTGGACAAGGATGGCTGAAGAGTAAGAGCAACAGCTTTCTTTTTAAGGGGAAAACAGTGCTGGAATTCTTAGACCTGTCTAACCAAGGAAAAAGATTGATCTCCTTGGCAGTTGAGTACTGCTTGTGTCTAGGTGTAACGACGAAGGGAGGGCTTCCCTGTAAGCAAGAAAGCTGAACATGAGCCTACTTCAAGTCAAACCTATATCTTTCCCTTCTCTTCCCACTCCTTCTGCCCCCCCCCCCCCCCCCCCCCCCCCCCCCTCCCACCCTCCTTC